AAAAGTATTTATTTATTTTTTTAAGTTTTTAAAAAAATTTAAGAGTATTAATGAAAATTTGGAAGTTTGAGTGCTTTATAAAACCCTTTTCAAAATTCAGGGGCGTTTTAGGTATTTTGAAATAAATTATTAACCGTTTCTATAATCATGTTTTAAATTTTTTTAAAAAATTTTAAAGATATTATTAAAAAATTAAAAAATTTATAGGTATTTTTGGATGGGAATGGATGGAAATTGAGTTTTAATGAGAAATATTAATAGATGCTCTTCATAATTTTTATTTATTGTTTTGAATTTGTTTCTTTAATTTCTCGTAATTTTATACTTTAAAATATTGTCCTTATTTGCATGATATATTTGAGTTTGAATTTTTCCATTTAAATTTGTTTTAGATTATTTCCTTTTTTTGATTATCTAAATAAATTGCAAATTTTGTTTTAAATATATTAGAATTATTTATAATTTTAGACGTATATATCTTAATTATTAAGTTTAGTTTGGTTAAATTTATTCCATTTTAATCATTAAACTTTTAATTATATATTTTTCTATTGTTATTTTGCATAAGTGACACTTAATTAAGGTGAATATTGAGTTTTGCAGATATTAGGTGATAGAACAATAGCTATAACTAGATTTATTGTCATCTAAAATTTATACTTTTCGAAAAAAAATAAGTTTTATTTTTTTTTATTTTAAAAGTTAGAATTTCGATCTCTACGGTTTGATATTTTGTTCGTATGTGGTACTTGTTGCTTGGGGAACGACCTCCCCTATTGTGACCAAAAGTCTATCCTTGATTTAATCTAAGTTTTTCTATAATAGCTCAAGCTAACCGTTAACAGATATTGTCTGTTTTTGTCAGTTACGTTTTGCTGTCAACCTCGCAGTTTTAAAATGTGTCTAAGAGATTTTCACTTCTTACAAGGAATGTTTCGTTCCTCTCTCCATTCCATGGGATCTCATAATCACACCCCTCCTTGGGGACAGTGTCCTTACTAGTACACCGCTTGGTGTCTGACTCTGATACCATTTATAACAGTTTAAACTCATCGCTAGCAAATATTGTCCACCTCAGCCCGTTACGTATCGTCGTCAACCTCATAGTTTTGAAACCGTTTAATACGAATTGGTTTCTAAACCCTTATAAAGAATGTTTCGTTCTCCTCTCCAATCGAGATGAGATCTCACACTTTCAACCTAATAACGACTGACAAATGAAATTTAGGTCCAAGAAAAAAGCACCCACTAGTTGAATTTATCATTTTGTTTGATTGGTAGCTTGCTCAATTGCTTCTCTAATTTTTTTTTTCCTAAAATTTGGCTAGTTTCAAATTATTTTTTTTTTCCTACCTTGAAATCACTTTATACGTTTGACAATTATATTTTATATCTATTTAAATTTTAAACTTTTGCTAGAGTCCATTTGATAATTTACACGTATGCAAAGTTATAATTCTATCGATGAGCCCTATAAACTGTTATATGAAAATCAATTTACAACTCGTTCATACATCAATTCTCATAGGTATACACGTTTTTTTAGAAAAATTAAACTACTCACTTGAAAATCAAAAAAAATTACACACATGTAAATTAACGTTTTTTAGATAAAACCTCACAGATGATATAAACTCATCGAGTTACGAATTATACCGGCGCATCCTCGACATAAAACACAAATCTCCCGAACTTGTAACCATATAAATAGTATTCAATACACACAACAAAGATCCAAGAACACATAAGATGGACAATTATGGAAAGTAAAGAAAGAGATGAAGGGCTTAAAGAGATTAAAACATAATTAAAACCCACATAGTTGTGAGTTTATTTACTTATTTCCACTTCAGTTTTGTGGATCATTGCACTTTTTTGACTTAGTATCGCAGTGATCTTGGTGTTTTGGGACCGATTTTGAGCTGCATTTATGATAATGGTTGGGATTACTGCAATTGGGTCTGATGGGGATTAAGCTGTAAAAAATGGGGTAGGGCTTACGTTTGGCCGCTCCTGCATCTCGAAACAAGTTTAATGTGAGATCTCATATCGGTTGGGAAGCAGAACTAAACACTGTGTGAAAATTTTTGAAGGGAAGAAATTCAAAACAGACAATATCTACTGAATTCATTAAATTTAAGATATTAAAAGAGAACGGCTAAGAAGCTCACCATTTTTTCCGGCCACCACTAGCTCCCTGGCTGCAGCCAGCTCGGAGGAGACGAGGAGAAGGAAGAAGAAGAAGGCCAAGAAAACTGAACCCTTTCCACAACTCATTTTAACTTATTGATACACAACAAGTAAAGTGGGTTTGAGATGAAATTGAGTGATTGGTTTCCATATAACAATGTGTTTTTATAGGCAAGGGATGGGGAAATGATCGGAATGGGTCCTAATAACAACAAAATTTGCCAACTTTTTCATGTGGGTTGTGTTTTTTTTTTTTTTTTTTCAGTATGGATCTTACGAGCTCATCGCTAGTAGATATCATCAACTTTGACTTGTTACGCATCTTTATTAGCTTGACGGTTTTAAAACGTGTTTACCAAAGAGAGGTTTCCACATTTTTATAAGGAATGGTTCGTTTCTCTCTTCAATCAATGTGAGATCTCACAATCTACCTCTTTTGAGGGCCAACGTTCTTGTTGACACACTACTCGGTGTCTAGCTCTGATACCATTTGTAATAACTCAAGCCCACCTCTAGGAGATATTGTTTGCTTTGGCCAGTATTGTCGTCAATCTTATAGTTTTAAAATGTCTCTATTACCGAGAGGTTTCCACACCTTTCCAAAAATACCAACATGTGATCTACGATTGAGTCCTTGGGTTTCCGAAATAGTGTAAAAAGAGGTTCAGTTTCTTTAATTACCGAATGATAGAATAAGAAGGTGAACGAACGAGAGAATAGGAAGAGTAGAAGAAAGAATCAGTAGTCTTGACTTTCAACAATAGTTCATTATCTAATGGATTTTTCCGTTCTAATACTCCATCCGAGAGTTATCAGTATTTATCAAATCTGTTCCTATCTAACGGAACGCTATTGGATCAAATGACAAAGACATTGTTGAGAAAAAGATGGCTTTTCCCGGATGAAATGTTTGTTGCTATCTGTTACAATAACGAATCATTGGTTTAACTGAATAACTAAATAAAATAGATAGACCCTTCTCTTCGTCTTAGGTCGACGGATCTTCTCCATTGAAAGATCCCCTATATGGATAATACACATTCCAGTTCAACGAGCCTAATTCTAATTGTTTTGTTCCGAAGCAAACCACGGGGCGGTTCGTCCTATTCAGATATTCACGACCAAGAAACACTGGATTCTCTTTCGGGTAGGCCCTGAAAGGAGAAGGAAGGCTGGAATGCCAACAGGCGTCTATTATTGAATTCACCCGACCCGATAGTACCCCATTTTTGGAACGTCCAGTGCCAAAGTCACTGAATGGGTAAGTCGCCAATCCCTAAAACGGACTATGTAATGTACTTTATCTGCTGGGGGATCAAGAATATGGGAGAACCGCTTCTTTTCTTGAAGCCAACCAAAGTTGACGAAGCTATAGCCCTCATGAAAGAAAGTTATCTTTCAGAAAATTGTAACGATAGTGGGATGCCCACATTGTAAGTCTTTTGACCTACCTTCTTTGAAAAAAAAAATTAGTTTACACACGTACAAAGTTGTAACCAAAAGTGTACCAAGCATAGATTGCATTATTGCATTATTGTTTGGAAAAGTCTTACATTAAAGGAAACGAGTTTTGTTTTATTGTTTATTCAAGAACATAGGAAGATATTTTATAGATAATAATATTAATTTATAGTCGTTATTGTTTCGGATAATATGGAACTTAAACATGGTAATTGAAATAGTTTAAAATTTTAAGAACCAACAAGTAAGCTACTAACCGAGTATTTATATATTGATTTATGCCACATTTTTGTTTAGATGGCACTTAATATTGTATGAGTGATATAAGTGTGAATATCATATTCCTGTAATAACTTAAAGGGTTTATAATTATACATCAAGTACTAATACAACCAACTTTGTAATTGTCACAAATGATTTGATCTAAATTGTTCATATGGAGACATGTGAGTGGAGATATCATATATAATGAGTTTGTATAAGACTAGACCATGAAATATTTAATCTTTTTTTTTTTGTAAATTTGTTAATTATGAAGATTAATATTTCATAGGATGATCATATGCAACCCAATTTTAATCTCAATTGAGTTAAGAACTTCTACCTGTGAGAACTTATTCTTTGATTTGTATGAGTGAGAATTGTTTTTTTTGTAGCCGATTCAATATGTCTACCCACATAGGAAAAGTAGATGAATAGTTTCATTAAGTGTTAATTTTGGGACTTAACAATGGTCCCATCCTCTCATTGGCTCGAGAGGAATTTAATTTATAGTTGGATGATAAACAAATTGTTAATTAAAGAATGAATGGTACTTTAAAAGATGTAATGATGTGTAAAATGAAATTTTGACCTAGTTATAATTACAAACAATTTGTGAAGGATCAACTTGCATTTAGGGATTATATCAATAGAAACAACTTGTCCTATCACGCATGTGAGTTCAACTATAGGTCCTTAGTAGGGTAGGGTGACCTACCGTCAATAAATGAAAATTGATTAATAAAATATATTTAAACCCATATGAGAGTCCATTTGAAATTTGTTCAATACATCAATCTAACTATTCACTTGAAAATCGTCAAATATTTGCAATGAAAAATCTAAATCAGATAAGTATTGAAAATTCATAAACTTAATTGATAGGATTTGCTCAAAATTCATAATCGTTTACACATCAGATAAGTATTTAAAAGCGTCTTTTGGTCGAGCATCCTTCTTAAAAGTTGCTCAAAACATTAAGAACGATTAATATGGACTTTTGAATCACCGATAGCGATCGAAAGATAATTAAAGGTAAGAATTTTAAATTTTTAGTTACGGTTAGATATGAACGTTTAGATAAATAATAGCTTGTGAACACTTAATCACGTATCTTACTCCAATTATACTCATGCAACCTCGAGATAAAACACAAATCTCCCAAACTTATAACCATATAAATAGGATTCAATACACATAAGATAGATAGTAATCAAAACCCAGGTAGGTGTGGGTTAGTTTATTTAGTTTCCATGGTGTTTGATCTTAATGTCCACTTCAGTTCTGCGGAGGGCAATTTCGTGAATAAGGATTGCAGACTCCGGGTGGGGTTGGCCGTGGGAAGCAATCACCATAACGACCTGGGCGATCGCAAACGGGTTTGTTGGGGTTTCGTGTGCGGGGGGTGACGAAAGTGGTGCGGCCTTCATGTATGACCGCTGCTGCATCCAAAAACAAATTTAAGCTTTCACTATATATACTTAACCAAAACTAAAACCGTAGGCTGCACAATATGTAAGAACCTCACCATTGTTTCCGGCCACCATCAGCTTCCGGGCAGCAGCCAGCTCCGAGGAGAAGAGGAAAAAGAAGAGCAAGAAAGCCAAAAAGACCCAACCCTTCCCACCACTCATCTTAGTTGATATCTCTTATCACTATACTCAACAACAACTATGGTGGGTTTGAGATGAACTTGAGTGATTGGTTTCCTCATTCCATTGTGTTTTTATAGGCCATGGGAGAGGGACATGTTATTTCAATCGCATACACCTTATAAATATCTTCGAGTCCTCGATGTTAACTACCGAAAATTTGAAATATATAAATAATTAATTAAAATAAGACAGCTTATCAGGAAGTTTGAGTTCAATATAGAAGGGAGGTCACTTGACTTACCGTGTCACAATAATTGCACAGTTTCGTCTCACTTTGGTGATTCGGAGGTAGTTGAAGAATACATTTTCTGACGGCTCCAGTTCGACTTCTCAACTAATCTAGCTTGAGTCTCATCGATTTTGACTCTTTGAAGGGTGTTTTTTACGCTTTCGAAGACGTTTAAGATTAATATGGCTACTTTTCAAGCGAAGTTTAGATTACTTTATGCAAATGAGATGAGTCAATTCTCATAGTAGAGTTTTTAGTTATATGATTATGGGATTCCTTAGGTAAAATTAGATTTTAAGGAGCAACTTTGAGATAGCATCAAGGGAGCATAATGACTTCGGCTTAAATGGTTTTACTATTGGTTTGATTGAATTAATTGTATGATGTATGAACGACACACGCTCTGACGTGTCGTACTTTGTGATTGTCTGACACGTATTATGTTCTGTCGTGTTATATTTGATGTCATGAGATGTTGTGTTATGTTATATATCTAGTTGTGACTTTCCATATCGTATGATGCATGATACCTCTATATGTTATGACATGCACACTATGTTACCATGTTCACTTCGCGTTTATGATAAAACTATTAAACCACCTATGTTATTCATGAAAGTTGTGTTATGACAAAACGAGGCATGACATGTACCATACACATATACCAGGATTTAAAGCTGGGAGCCCTCATACATTTTATATGTCATTTGCATTAAGATACTTCCCCGTTATGATTAGTACGAACGTGTATGCTATGATATTATATACATCATGATATTATGCGCGCTCCTTTCCCTCCAAGCTTTTTCACGAGCGTGAGTGCGCGGAAGGCCATATCCAAGAATACATATACAAGTCTCCTTCGAAGTCAATGTTCGAAAAAATGAAAAGGATAAGTTTGTGAGAAAAGGTTAGAATAATCAAAGTTATGCCCCCACAACCCTACCACATTGACTCATATTATTCAATATTGTCTTTTGAGAAAAAAAAAATTATATATTGACTTTTCAAAGAGAAAAGTAAGTTGCCAATTTTACCCGATTATCTCATTAATAATAGAATGATTTAGACATAGATATCGTTTAAAGATTTAAGAACAAGAGTATTTTTATACTTATTTATATTACTTTTCTTTTTAAGATAATACCTGATCTTATATGATTGATGTAAATGCAAACACTAGTAGTTAGATAATAAAATTGTAGATAGAGTTGAGTCATGTTTTGAAAAAAAGTATGTAACTTTAAGTTTGCTCATAAGACAGGTCCGTAGATTTTTTCTAGGCATGAAAATGATATCTTTTAGTCAAAAATTAATCTATGAGTCTAAAATATTTTGAAGGTTATATCAATAAGAATTCAAAAACCCCATAATTTATCAATTAAATATTGAATTTTTATAAGAGAATCAATCTTTTTATTTTTGTTAGATTCGAATGGGCACGTAGTTTACAAATGTACAAAATTATAATTCTATCAATTAAATTTCTTATATTATCATCGTGGAATCAATTTAAGCACTCAATTTGATGTTCATTATACAACAATTTTCACGTGTGTAAACTTCTTAAAATACCTAGAACTTTATTTGTTACAGTATGAGGTCTCTATTAGCAGTATCGTTCGCTTTAGTCTATTACACATCATCGTCAACTTCACAATTTTAAAATGTTTATTAGGGAGAGATTTCCATACTATAAAGAATATTTCGATTCCCTCTCCAGTTAATGTGATATCTCACAATCCACTCCCTTTGAGTCTAGCATGTTCGCTGACACATCCGTGTTTAGCTCCGATATCAACCATAACAGTCCGAGGCTACTACTAGTAAATATTGTCCATTTTAGCCCGTTACATATTGCCGTCAGCCTCATAGTTTTAAATGCATCTACTAGATAGAAGTTTTCACACTCTTATAAAGAATATTTCATTCTCCCGTTACAATTGATTTATAATTATTTCCATTCAATACAATTTAAGATTCCAACCTATCCTTTTTAAGTACCTATCAAATGAAAGAACAAAAACAAGAAGTGTCTATCAATCTAGCATTATTTGTTTGGAAAAGTCATAAAAAATTTTATTTTATTTAATTGCCCATAAAATATCTTCAAACATATAATAATACGAACTCTAATAAAAGTGAACCCTTCATAAATATTTTTTTTTTCTTATTGTAATGAGTTTTAAATTTACTTTCATATTAGTTAAAATACTACAAATGATCACTAAGTTCGGATCAAATCACAAAATTCAAATGGGATAATTTTTACTTTAGGCTTTTTGTGAGTCCACTGCTAGCAAATATTCTCTTATTTAGAGGGACCTCAGGCATGTTGTAGGATTATAATCATGGGGATACTTCCCCTAGAAATGATGAGTGCGGACGCGCACAGTATGATGATGAAGGTGTTCATGGGGAGCATGACATTAGGGGTTTCCTGACCTCCAGACATCGCTACATATAGCTAGCTTGACCAGAGAGGGTCCAGAGGGTGTGCAAGTCGCCTGGGGATTCACACTCGCATGTGTAGGTCATGTGTAGGAAAGTACTACACATCCATAGCGAGATTGAAAGTCACCCCTGGATAAGATAGAAACAAGTCCCTACAGCATATTTGCATGTGATTTTGGATTTAGCATGGGCTCTATAGTGGGGTCACTTACAAAGATTTCTTCGAAATACTCAGGCTGTGTGCCACGTCATTTTTCTCAGGTAAAGGCAAGGCGCCGATGTACGAATGACGGCGGCATCGCGAATAGAGATTATGGCACGTGCATATGATAGATGAATATTTAAATTCCTAGTCTTAGGTTAATATAGGTTGTCTTCATTTCATTATTTTATTTTGTATTTGTTTTTATTTTTTAATTCTAGTATTTTGTTTGAAACACGTAAAACCGATAGTGTTTTCTAGAAGATGATGTTGTTTTATGTGTTTTCGAAATTTATGTTATAAATGATGTTATTTTAAGAGTTATATTTTCAGATTAAGAGATGAGAACGAGACGTTAGTAGCGACTCTGAGTATGCAGAAATTTAGGGTCGTTACATCCCGAGCCTTGGAACATCATTGGTCTTTGTTTCTCACTCGAGCACGCTTATCAAGAACTAATCTATGAGAATTTTTACCATTGAGACATGTTGATTTTTCCTCCACCCAAGTATTATTGAGACATGAACCCTCCCATGTCCATATCGAATCATTTCTACAGACCATGCTAGTTAACAATAATATATACCAACCTTCGATTCAAGGGACGAGACACAATATTAGCACACTCGTGTCGCCCGACACTATCCTATAAAACTCATTTCCACAGAAAAAACGCTCAAAGACACTCATCTTGCAACACTCACACAAACACACTGTGACACACATGCACTATAAAGTATCTCACCTAGGCCATAGAATCTCAAAGTTCTTGAGAGAAAACACCCTGACTCCAACATATGACTAGAGATGTTTAATGAAGAATGTATTGAGTTTATGTTGTTTTATGTTTAGAATGTTTTTTGTTTTTAATTTTCTTTTGAAGTTATGTTATAAGTAAAGAAAGCCTCCTCTAAAGATTAATATAAAAACAATTTTGCCATTGATATTTTTTTTTCTTTTAATTTAATTTAACGTGGGTCAATTTTAAAAATTTGCACACATATAAATTAACGTCTTTTTTAGATAGAATCTAACGTATGGTATAAATTGATCGAGTTACGAATTATATCATATTGCACATTCTAGGCATAAAACACAAATCTCCCAAACTTATAACCATATACATAGGATTCAATACACACAACAAAAGATAGTAATTAAAACCCACGTAGGTGTGGGTTAGTTTATTTAGTTTCCATGTTTGATCTTAGTTTCCACTTCAGTTCTTCGGAGGGCAGTATTCTACATAAGGATCGCAGGCCTGTGGGAGGCAACTCCTATAACTGTTACGATCGCAATAGGGGTCGTAGGAGTCTTGTGTGCGGGGATTGACCGCTGCTGCATCCACAAACAAATTTAACCTTTCACTATATATACTTAACCAAAACTAAAACGGTAGGCTGCACAATATGTAAGAAGTTCACCATTTTTTCCGGCCACCATTAGCTTCCTGGCTGCACCCAACTCCGAGGAGACGAGGAAAAAGAAGAGCAAGAAAGCCAAAAAAACTGAAACCTTCCGACCACTCATTTTAGTTGATATCTCTTATCACTATACTCAACAACAACTATGGTGGGTTTGAGATGAACCCACTTGAGTGATTGGTTTCCTCTTTCTAATGTGTTTTTATAGGCCATGGGAGAGGGACATGTTATTTCAATCCTATACGCCTTATAAATATCTTCGAGCCTTCGATGTTAACCACCGAAAATTTGAAATATATAAATAATTAATTAAAATAAGAAAGCTTATCCATCGTCTCTTAGGTTGAGAAAGTGGGAAGTTTGAGTTCAATATAAAAGGGAGGTCACTTGACTGACGGTATCACAATAATTGTACAGTTTCATTCTAGGTGATTCGGAATCAGTTGGAGAATACATTTTATGACGGTTCCCGCTTGGCTTCTCAGCTAATCTAGCTTGAGTCTGATACGTTTGAACCATTTTCTATCAGTTTTGACTCTTGGGAAGGTGTTTTTGACACTTTTGGAGATGTTTAAGATTAGTATGACTACCTTTCAAGCTAAGTTTAGATTTTTTTTTTTTTTTTTTTATGTAAATAAGATGAATCAATTTTTATAGTAGAGTTCTAAGTTATATGATTGTGGGACCCCTTAGGTAAAATTAGATTCCAAAGAGTAGCTTTGAGCTAGAATCAAGGGAGCATAGTGACTTCGATTTAAATGGTTTTACTATTGGCTTGGTTGAATTAATTGTATGAAGTAGGAACAAGCACATGGTCCCTCCATGTGTCGTACTTTGTGACGGTTTGATATGTATTATGTTATGTTGTGTTATATGTGATGCCATGAGATGTTGTGTTATGTTATATATCTGGTTGTGACTTCCATGTCATATGATGCATGATATCTCTATATATTATGACAAGCAGATACTACGTTAGCATGTTCACTTTAGGTTTATGAAAAACTGTTGAGCCATATATGTTATTCCTAAAAGTTATGTTAGGAAAGAAACGAGGCATGACATGCATCATACACATATGCCATGATTTAAAGTTATGGAGACCTAATACATTTTGTATGTCATGTGCATTGAGATAGTTTCCCGTTATGATTAGTATAAACATGTATATTTTGATATTATGTGCGCTTGTTTTCGTACGAGCTTTTCCATTGTGAGTGTACACTGGCTGAAGGTCATGTCCAAGAGTACGTATACGAACCCACCTGAGAGTCTTCGTGTGTTTGAAAAAAATGAAGGAAATAAGGTGGACAACCATTGACTTGTGTCTAATTGAAATTGTCTTAGAATAATAATGCTTTAGATATAGTAATTGTAATCTTTTGAAGATTTAAGAACCTATAAGTAAGTTACTTACCGAATATTTTTATACTCATTCATACTACTTTTCTTTTAAAAATGATATCTGATCTTTTATGGCGGATGTGAATGCAAATACGAGTAATTGGATAATCATGTTTTGGAAAATCATATGTGGCTAAAATTTGCTCATAAAACAAGCCCTTATAGATCTTTTCTATACATGAAAATGATATCTTTCTAATATCTTTTCGCCAAAAATTAATTTATACCTTCAAATTTTAAAAGTGGTATGAATAAAAATCATAATTCATAGTTTTATCAATAAATATGGAACTTTTATAAATGTATCAGTTTTTCATCTTTGCTAGTAGATATTATTTTTTTTTAATTTTTATTTTTCATCTATTCAAAGTTTTTAAAACGTATCTACCATAGGTTTACATGTTCTTATAAGAAATATATAAATATTCACAAGTTTCACCATGTTTTCATCATTATTTGACCGGCACATTCATGCTTTTCTGCCGGCACCCATCGATAGGTTGAATATACATTAAATGTTATTTTCTTTAGTTGGTTTTAAATTCAGAAGCTAGTGGAAAAGTGAAAGGTCAAGGTCTTCTAGATGAAAGACGATAGTTGTTATTAGGAGACAATGGTGTTTTTATGGTTATAATTAGTTTTTAGTTTTTCTTAATTATCCTATCATCAAGATTGCTTCATTCGGATGTGGGTCTTGGTGCATTCATGTACGATTCCTGTACTTAGATATCACACGTTCCTTGTACGTGTATTTTCATTCGATTGCGGCTCTAGCTAAACTGCCCCTACTCTAGGCGAAGTCTTAAGGCTCAACCTTACCTTTACTCCAAGCCAAGGTCCTTCAAATACAATGTCACTTATGATTACATCATCTTAGTTCTTAACAACATGGCTCACATGCTTCTACATAGATCAAGTTTTTTGTGGAGATAATTTTCGATCCTTCGGTCAAAACCGCCTAAAAATACTCAACTAGATCTTATTGAGTGATATTAGCACTTACTAAACCCTTTTGAAACATTGTAACGTTTACCATGGCTTGTTGAAGCAATTTGGAGCTTATCAAAGCAATACAATGTCTATCAAGACATATCAACTCAGTACAGTTATGAACCAAGAACTTTCGAGTCCCATCGATACTTCGTGATGTCATCCCGAGTCTTGGAATATCATTGATCTTTGTTGCTCACTCGAGCACACTTATCAGGAACTAATCTATGAGAATTTTTATCATTGAGACATCTCGATTATTCTTCCACCCACGTATTATTGAAACATGAACCCTCCCAAGTCCATGTCTGAGTCATTTCTACAAATTCTGCTAGATAACAATAATATATACCAACCTTCGATTCAAGGGACGAGACATAATATTAGCATACTCGTGTCGCCAGACACTATCCTATGAAACTTGTTTCCAAAGGAAGACACTCAAGACACTCGTCTTGCAACACTCACACACACCATGACACACATGTACTATGAAGTATCCCACCTAAGCCACAGAGTCTAGAAGTTGTGGAGAACTAACACCATGCCTCGAAACATATGACCATGGATGTTTACTAAATATGTCACGGGACTATGTTAGAATGTATTGAGCTTATGTTATAAGTGAAGAAAGTGTCCTAAAGATTAATAATAAAAACAATTTTGTCAATTTAATTTAATGTAGGTCAACCGTTAAAAAATTTGCACACATAAATTAACGTTTCTAACATATGGTATAAATTGATAGAGTTACGAATTATATCGCGCATCCTCGGCATAAAACACAAATCTCCCGAACTTATAACCATATAAATAGGATTCAATACACACAACAAAGGTAAGATAGATAGTAATCAAAACCCAGGTAGGTGTGGGTTACTTTATTTAGATCCCATGGTGTTTGATCTTAGTGTCCACTTCAGTTCTTCGGAGGGCAGTATTCTACATAAGGATTGCAGACTGGGCGTGGCTGTGGGAGGCAACTCCTATAACCGGTATGATCGCAATAGGGATCGTAGGAGACTTGTGTGCGGGGAATGACCGCTGCTGCATCCAAAAACAAATTTAAGCCTTCACTATATATACTTAACCAAAACTAAAACGGTAGGCTGCACAATATGTAAGAACCTCACCATTGTTTCCGGCCACCATCAGCTTCCGGGCAGCAGCCAGCTCCGAGGAGACGAGGAAAAAGAAGAGCAAGAAAGCCAAAAAAACTGAACCCTTCCCACCACTCATTTTAGTTGATATCTCTTATCACTGTACTCAACAACAAGTAAAGTGGGTTTGAGATGAACTTGAGTGATTGTTTCCTCATTCCAATGTGTTTTTATAGGCCATGGGAGAGGGAAATGTTTTTCAATCGTATACCCCTTATAAATATCTTCGAGTCTTGGATGTTAACCACCGAAAATTTGAAATATATAAATAATAAGAAAGCTTATCCCAGTTACGTTGAGAAAGTGGGGAATTTAACTCCAATATACAAAGGAGGTCACTTGACGGACTATATCACAATAATGGCATAGTTTCATTCCACTTAGGTAATTCGAAATCAGTTGGAGAATACATTTTATGACGACTCCAGCTCGGCTTCTCAACTAATCTAGCTTGAGTCTGATACGTTTGAACCCTTTTCTATCAGTTTTGACTCTTCGGAAGGTGTTTTTGACACTTTTGGAGATGTTTAAGGTTAGTATGACTACTTTTCAAGCTAAGTTTAGATTATTTTATGTAATAAGGTGAATCAATTTTTATAGTAGAGTTTTAAGTTATATGATTGTGGAACTCCTCGTAAAATTAGATTCCAATGAGTAGCTTTGAGCTAGAATCAAGGGAGCATAGTGACTTCGGTTTAAATAGTTTTACTATTCGCTTGGTTGAATTAATTGTATGAAGTAGGAACAAGCACATACTCTGTGGTCCCTCCACGTGTCGTATTTTGTGACTGTTTGACATGTGTTAATTTATGTTGTGTTATATGTGATGCCGTGAGATGTGTTATGTTATATATCTGGTTGTGACTTCCATGTCGTAAGATGCATGATACCTCTATATGTTATGACAAGCAAATACTACGTTGCCATGTTCACTTTAGGTTTATGAAAAACGGTTGAGCCATGTAATGTTATTCATGAAATTTATGTTATGAAAAAAACGAGGCATGACATGCATCATACACATAGCTATAATTTAAAGTTATGGAAACCTAATGCATTTTGTATGTCATGTGCATTGAGATATTTTCTCGTTATGATTAGTATAAACATGTATATTAAGATATTATGTACACCATGATATTATGCGCGCTTCTTTTTTTTAAAGGCTTTTCCACTGTTACTGTACACTGGCTGAAGGCCATGTCCAAGAGTACGTATACGAACCCGACTGAGAGTTTTCGTGTGTTTGAAAAAAATGAAAGAGATAAGGTGGACGACCATTGACTTGCGTCGAATTGAAATCGTCTTAGAATAATATATCCTTTAGGCATAGTAATTGAAATCCTTTAAAGATTTAAGAACCTACAAGTAAATTGCTTACGAAATATTTTTATACCCATTCATACTACTTTTCTTTTAAAAATGATATCTAATCTTTTGTGGCTTATGTGAATGCAAATACGAGTAATTGGATAACGATAGAGTGATTCATGTTTTGGAAAATTGTACGTGGCTTAAATTTGCTCATAAAACAAGTCTTATAGATTTTTTCTATATATGAAAATGATATCTTTCTAATATCTTTTCGCCAAAAATTAATTTATACATCTAAATTTTAAATATTGAACTTTTATAAACGTGTCAATTTTTCATCTTTACTGGTAGATATTATTTTTGTTGACTTTTATTTTTCATCTCTCGGAGTTGGTTTAAAACACATCTAGGTTTTATCTTTAAATTAAAGGTAAAAGTAAAATTTTAATTTAAAAAAAATAGCACATGGGTAATTTTTAAAATAGAAAACTAATAAATATATCAATATTCACGAGTTTCACCATGTTTTCATCATTATTTGACCAACTTTCATGCTTTTATGTCCACACCCATCGACATGTTGAATAAATATTAAATGTTATTTTTTGTTTAGTAGATTTTAATTCAGAAGCTAGTGTAAAAGTGAAAGGTCGATGGTCTTGTAGATAGATGAAAAACAAGAGTTGTTAGAAGAGATAATGGCGTTTTTATGGCTATAATTAGTTATTAGTTTTTAGTTGTTCTCATTCAGATGTAGGTCTTGGTTCATTCATGTACGACTCCTGTACTCAGGTATCACACATTGCTTGATACTTCGTGATGTCATCCCGAGTCTTGGAATATCATTGATCTTTGTTGCTCACTCGAGCACACTTATCAGGAACTAATCTATGAGAATTTTTATCATTGAGACATCTCGATTATTCTTCCACCCCGTATTATTGAAACATGAACCCTCCCGCGTCCATGTCTGAGTCATTTCTACAAATCCTGCTAGATAACAACAATATATACCAACCTTCGATTCAAGGGACGAGACACAATATTAGCACACTCGTGTCGCTGGACACTATGCTATGAAACTCATTTTCAAAGGAAGACACTCAAGACACTTATCTTGCAACATTCACACACACCATGACACACATGTACTATGAAGTATCCCACCTAGGCCATAGAGTCTAAAAGTTGTGGAGAACTAACACCATGCCTCCTGATATATGACCATTGACGTTTACTAAATATGTCATGGGACTATGTTAGAATGTATTGAGCTTATGTTATAAGGGAAGAAAGCGTCCTAAAGATTAATATAAAAACAATTTTGTCAATTTAATTTAATGTGAGTCAACCGTTAAAAAATTTGCACACAATATAAATTAACATTTTTTTAAGATAGAATCTAACATATGGTATAAATTGATCGAGTTACGAATTATATCGCGCATCCTCGGCATAAAACACCAATCTCCCAAACTTATAACCATATAAATAGGATTCAGTACACTACAAAGGTAAGATAGATAGTAATCAAAACCCAGGTAGGTGTGGGTTACTTTATTTAGATCCCATGGTGTTTGATCTTAGTGTCCACTTCAGTTCTTGGGAGGGCAGTTTTGTGTATAAGGATCGCAGACCGGGGGTTGGAATGAGGGGCAATCTCCATAAGGACTGCTACGATAGCAAGGGGGTCTGTCGGAGTATTGTGTGCGGGGGGTGACGAAAGTGGTGCGGCCTTCATGCATGACCGCTGCTGCATCCAAAAACAAATTTAAGCTTTCACTATATATACATAACCAAAACTAAAACCGTAGGCTGCACAATATGTAAGAACCTCACCATTGTTTCCGGCCACCATTAGCTTCCTGGCTGCACCCAGCTCCGAGGAGACAAGGAAAAAGAAGAGCAACAGAGCCAAAAAGACCCAACCCTTCCCACCACTCATCTTAGTTGATATCTCTTATCACTATACTCAACAACAACTATGGTGGGTTTGAGATGAACTTGAGTGATTGGTTTCCTCATTCCACTGTGTTTTTATAGGCCAGGGTTGAGGGACATGTTATTTGAATCGCATACACCTTATAAATATCTTCGAGTCTTGGATGTTGACAAACAAAAAGGTGGGTGTGTCACAACAATTGCACAGTTTCATTCCACTTTGATGGTTCGGAACCAGTTGGAGAATACATTTTCTGACAGTTTTAGCTTGACTTTTCAGCATATCCAGCTTAGGTCTAATACACTCAAATCTTTTTCTATCGGTTTTGACTCATTGGGAGGCGGTTACGTTTAAGTTAGTATTACTACTTTTCAAGCTAAATTTAGATTATTATATGCAAATCAGGTGAGTCATTTTTTATGGTAGAACCTTAAGTTATATGATTGCGGGACTCTTTAAGTAGAATTAGATTTGGAGCGTAGTAATTTCGGCTTAAATTGCTTTACTATTGGCTTGGTTGAATAAATTGTATGAAGTATGAACGGTGCATGTGCTGTGACCTCTCCATGTGTCGTACTTTGTGACTGTTTAACTCTATGTGTCATGACATCCACACTATGTTAGCATGCTTGCTTGAGGTATAGGAAAAATTGTTAAGCCACATATGATTCATGAAAGTTATGTTATGAAAGAAACGAGGCATGACATCATCATACGTATATACCATGATTTAAAGCTATGGGAACCTCAGCATTTTGTAAGTCATGTGCATTGGGATACTTTTCCGTTATGATTAGTACAGACGTGTATACATTATGCACACCATGATATCATGCGTACTCCTTGTCATTCGGGCTTTTTCACCAACGTGAATGTACACTGGCTGAAGGCCATGTCTAAGGGTACATTTACAAGCCCGCTAAGAAATCTATGCATGCGTGTGTGAATTGCGTGTTTAAAACAAACGAAAGAGATAAAAGTTTGATTCGAGTAAAAGTTAGCTGTGGAAATATGAATCTATTTTGTTTATCCTAATTGAGAGAAAAAAATTTATATATATTTGAATTTTCAACGAGAAAAGTAAGTCGCCAAACTTTCTCCAATTTTCCAATTACCTCATTAATAATGTAGTTTTGTTCTTTAGGAAACAACAAAATATTAATAGAATATTTAAATCATAATTGTTTTTTTTGTACCTATTCATTTAAATTTCTAAATTTTGTACCAAAAATATCTATTTTGTTATAATATTTTCCATTCAATACAATTTAAAGATTCCTACCTAACCTTTCAAGTGCCCATCAAAAGACAACAAGTGTATCTAACCAAGATTGCATTAGATTGCATTAGGAACCGAGTTTTGTTTTATTTACTTATTTATTTATTCATGAACATACCAACATATTTTATAGATAATAATATTTCTAAAACAAAGCTCGAGTACGAGAGATTTAAATTTCTACACGATTTAGATGTAGTAATTGAAATTGTTTAAAGATTTAAGAACCTTTAAGTAAGCTACGTCCGTCCCGGGTATTTTTATACTCATTCATATTACTTTTCTTTTTAAAATGATATTTGATCTTATATGACTGATGTGAATGAATAAACAAATAGTTAGATAATAAAATTGTAAATAGAGTTGAGTCATGTTTTGGAAAATCGTAAGTGGCTAACGTTTTTTCATAATATAGACCAACCTCTATAGATTTTTTCTATACATGAAAATGATATATTTCTAATATTTTTTGGTAAAAAATTAATTTATACATCTAAGATAGTATCAATAAAAATTCTAAACCCATGATTTTTTTTTTTTTTTTTGTTAGATTTGAATTGATACGTTAGTTTACAAATGTGCAAAGTTATAATTCTATCAATTAAATTTGTATAAGCTTCTTAAAATACTTAGAACTTTATTTGTCTACTTTAGCGTGTTACGTATGGTCATGAGCCTTAGTTTTAAAACGAGCCTACTAGGGAGAGGTTTTTCACACTATAAGGAATGTTTCGTTTCTTTCTCCACTCAATGTGAGATCTCACAATCTACTCCCTTAAGGCTCAACGTTCTCGCTGGTACACCGCTTTGTTTGGCTCCAATACCAATCGTAACAGTCAGAGGCCACTGCTAGTAGATATAATCCGCTTTAGCCCATTATATAATGTTGTTAGTCTCACAATTTTAAAACACATCTATCAGTGAGAGATTTTCACACTTTTATAAGAAAGGTTTGGTTCCCCTACCCACCGATATGAGATCTCATATCATTTGAAAATCATCATTTGAAGAGTCCTCACTAAAACTAGTCTATTTTATTAGAATTGATTTATAACTATTTCCATTCAATACAATTTAAGATTCCTACCTATCCTTTTTAAGTACCTATCAAATGAAAGAACAAAAACAAGATGTGTCTATCAAACTATTCATTATTTGTTTGGAAAAGTCATAAAAGTTGTATTTTATTTTATTTTGTTGTCCATGAAATATATTCAAACAGATAATAATACGAACTGAAATAAAGGTGAAAATTTAAATTTCTATCTCGATGTTCTCTTTTTTTTTTTTTTAATTAATAAAAAAACATCAGTCCTCTCGCATTAATTATTAGATTTGTTCACCCGATTAAATTTTTTAATATCACGAACCCTTCATAAATATTTTTTTTTCTTATTGTAATGAGTTATTAATTTACTTTCATATTAGTTAAAATACAAATAATCAGTGGAATAATTTTTACTAGAAAGTTTGTCCTTTGCTTTCCCTCCGTCCCTCTTAGTAAATATTATCCCGTTTGAGCTTACTCGAATAATTTAACCAGAAAGTATGTCCTCTTTATGTTTTCCCTTCAACCTACTGCTAATAGGTATTGTTTTCTTTTTTTTTTCTCCTTTTGAGTTTCCCTTTAAGATTTTTAAAATGTGTCTACGTAATGCTTTGGTTTTTCTTTTCAACAGATGGTGGGATCCCTTTCATTTATAAAGAAAAACTAAAGGGAAACTTATAAGAACTTCATAGTGTCAAATCTAGATTCTGAATTCAGATCCGAATCTTAAATATGGGTCGTTCCACTTTCAATGAAAATGTTCGATTCTATGGTTTTTTTTTTTTTTTTTTTAAAGTTAAATTATAAAATTGAAAGTAAGTCTATTAACAAAACTAAAGCTTGGGGCATGAAGAATAAAAAACTAATTAGCTCTTTGAAATTATAAAATTAAGTTCGTTCATAAAACAAGTCCTTATAGATTTTTTCTATACATGAAAACCATATCTTTCTAATATCTTTTCGCCAAAAATTAATTCATACATCTAAATTTTAAAAATTGTATCAATAAAAATCATAACTCATAATTTTACCAATTAAATATTGAACTTTTATACACGTGTCAATTTTTCATCTTTGTTGGATTCGAATTGATACGGTTATAATTCTATCAAATATTTCTTAGTTGTCTATCATGAAATCAATTTTAGCCCTCAATTGGATGTTCATTCATGCATCAATTGTCACATGTGTGTAAACTTTTTTAAATATTTAGAACTTTATTTGTTACTATTCGAGACCACTGTTACTAGATATGGTTTGTTTTAGCCCATTATATATCGTTGTCAGTCTCACAATCAATATGGGAATGTTTCGTTTCCCTCTCTAATCAATGTGGGTTCTCACAATCTACTTCCCTTGAGATCCAGCGTCTTCGCTGACACACCACTCGATGCCTGAATTCGAATGATCAAATGTTACTCTTGTGGAAAATCTGGCCATTATGTGGCAGATTGCCGCAGCAAAAAAGCAAGATGAGGAGGCAAACCTCACACGCACGCAAGATCAAGAGCCCGCACTGATGTTGGCTGAAAAGATGCCCAAACTGTTGATGCTCAACAAAGAAAAGGTTATGGCGAACCTTCTCACAAAAGGAGAAGATCAAGTGGAGACTAGCATGTGGTACCTAGACAACGGAGCGAGCAATCACATGACCGGAGATCGAGCAAAGTTCAAGAAGTTTGATGATAAGTTTACTGGAAACGTGAAGCTTTGCGACGGATCAATTGTACCGATTTAAGGCAAAGGATCTATCTTGTTTCAGTGTAAGAACGACGATCAACGTCTATTGGCCAAAGTGTACTACAGCTTGAGTTTAAAGAGAAATATTATTAGCCTTGGTCAAATGATAGAAGAAGGTAGCAGAGGGGAGATAATCGGCCCGTTCCTCAAGATATACAACTGAAATGGAACCCTATTGATGAAGGTAAAACGGTCATGAAATCGCCTATATAAGATACTATTGAAAAACTATCAACATCTTACAAAAGTATCTATTGGTGTTGGCAGCAAAAAAGTGAGGAAGAAACCCATGGGTCAGGAGAAAAATGAATAGACAAAAATCCAAGAAGCAACTAGAGGATGCTTCAACACGCGTAGTGTAACCTACAAGTCGATGTGTTTCATTAGACTTGTCATCTCAACCAAGGAGGCCTAGAGGAAGACCACCACGGTATAAAAAAAAAAATTTCAAACTTACCAGCTCAACCAAAGAAACGTAGAGGTAGGCCTAAAAATAAGGTTGAAAAGCATAGGAGTGCTTTATAAGAATTTTCTAAATGTAAGCTAGTGGAAGAAATTATATGTTGCAAAATTATAATTTCTTTGGAAGAAGAAAGAGTTGACCGGGGGACCAAGCAAAGTTGAAACTAGAGAGCAACATGTAGATATTCTCACCAAGAGTCTAGCAAGGGTTAAATTTGCAGACATGCGGGAATTGCTGAAAGTGAAAAATCTCGAGCAAAATCCAGCTTACGGAAGAGAATGTGAGTTAATAAGCTTGACTTAACAAAATAGAAAAGTTATTAACATAGTGCAATTCTAGGATAATTATTTAGTAGTTATTATTTTGATAGTTCATTCATGTACTGCTCTTTTACTCAGGTATCACACATTGCCTGTACGTGTATTTTCATTCAATTGCGATTCTAGCCAACTTACCTCTGTTCTAGGCTAAGTTTTAATGCTCAACCTTGTATCTACTCTAGGCCAAAGTCCTTCAAATGCAACGTCACGTATGATTACATCATCTTAGTTCTTAACAACATGGCTCACATGCTTCTATATGGATCTAGATTTCTTTCGAGATGGTTTTGGACCCTTCGTTGGGTCCAAAGAGCGTGAAAATACTCAACTTGAGATTATTGGGTAATATTAGCGCTTACTAAAACCTTTTGAAACATTATAACGTTTATCATGGCATGTTGATGCAATTTGGAGCTTATCAAAGCATTATACTAACCAAGAACTTTCGAGGCCCACGATACTTTGTGATGTCATCCCGAGCCTTAGAATGCTATTGGTCTTTGTTTCTCATTTGAGCATGCTTATCAAGAACTACTCTATGAGAGATTTTATCATTGACAAGTCTCGATTATGACTCCACCCAAGTATTATTGAGATATGAACCCTCCCATCTCCATGTCGAGTCATTTCTACATATCATGCTAGATAACAACATATACCAACCTTCGATTCAAAGGACGAGACACAATATTAGCACACTCATATCGCCTAACACTATCCTATAAAACTCATTTCCAAAGGAAGACACTCATCTTGCAACACTCACACACACCGTGACAAACATGTACTATTGATTGAGTTACAAATTATACCCACACATCATCCCCATAAAACACAAATCTCCAAACTTATAACCACAAAAATAGGATTGAATACACACAACAAAGGTAAGATAGATAGTAATTAAAACCCACGTAGTTGTGGGTTAGTTTATTTGGTTTCCATGATGTTTGATCTTAGTGTCCACTTCAGTTCTATGGAGGGCAGTCTTGTGTATAAGGATCGCAAACCGGGGTTATGCAAGAGTTGCAATCACCATAACAATAGCAATTTTGCATGTCGGGGTTTTGTGTGCCGGGGCTGCTGAAAACGGTGGGGTCTTCATGTATGGCCGCTGCTGCATCCAAAAACAAATTTAACCTTTCACTCTCATTTATTTTGAATTTAAATTCTTTCTATCAATCATGTTTAGAATTGTTGGGAGGGAGTCCCACGTTGACTAATTTAGAGAATGATAATGAGAATTTATCTCCATTGGTATGAAGGGAACGAAAAACAAAAGTCACGAGAGCCTATGCTCAAAGTGGACAATATCATACTATTGTGAACGACGACAAAATAGGTAAGGACGCTCACCATTTTTTCCGGCCACCATTAGCTTCCTGGCTGCAGCCAACTCGGAGGAGACAAGGAGAAAGAAGAAGAAAGCCAAAAAAATCGAACCCTTCCCACCACTCATTTTAGTTGATATCTCTTATCACTATACACAACCACAAGTAAAGTGGGTTTGAGATGAAATTAAGTGATTGGTTTCCATATTCCAATGTGTTTTTATAGCCATGGGAGAGGGACATATTATTTCAATACTATACAAAATTCTATTACTATCTCATAAATATCTTCGAGTCTCGGATGTTAAACACCAAAAATTTGAAATATATAAAGAAATAATTAAAATAAGAAAGGTTGTGTCACAACAATTATACACTTTCATCCTACTTTCATAGTTCGGAACCAGTTGGAGAATACATCTTCTGACAGTTTTAGCTTGACTTTTCAGCTAATCCGGTTTAGGTCTGATACATTCAAACCCTTTTCTATTGTTTATGACTCGTCGTCACATTTAAGTTAGTATGACTAATTTGATTATGTTATGCAGATGAGGTGAGTCATTTTTCATAGCAGGGTTCTAAGTTATACGATTGTGGGACACCTTGGGTAGAATTAGATTTGGAGCGTAGTAATTTCGGCTTAAATGACTTTACTATTGGCTTGGTTGAACAAATTGTATGAAGTATGAACCACGCATGCTCTGTGACCCTTCCATGTGTCGTAATTTGTGATTGTTTGACATGTATCATATTATATGTGATGTCATGAGACATTATTTATGTTATACATCTAGTTGTGACTTCTATGTTGTATGATGGGGGATACCTCTATATGTTATGACATGCACACTAGTATGTTTACTTCGGTTTAGGAAAAATTGTTAAGCCACATACAAATTCAGGAAAGTAATGTTATGAAAGAAATGAGGCATGACATACCTCATATGCATATACCATGATTTAAAGTTATGAGAACCTCATACATTTTGTAAGTTATGTACATTGGGATACTTTCCCGATTGATACGGACGTGTATACTATGATATTATGTACACCATGATATTATGCGTGCTCCTTTTCGTTTGGGTTTTTTGAAAATACACGGGCTAAAGGTCATGTCTAATGGTACGTTTATGAGCCTGCCTAGAAATTGCGTGTTTGAAAAAAACAGAGATAAAGTTTGATTTGAGTCAAAGCTACAAATAATTGAAGGTTAAGTCGCCAAACTTTCTCCAATTTTCCAATTACCTCATTAATAATGTAATTTTGTTCTTTAGGAAACAACAAAATATTAATAGAATATTTAAATCATAATTGTTTTTTTGTACCTATTCATTTAAATTTCTAAATTTTGTACAAAAAATATCTATTTTGTTATAATGTTTTCCATTCAATACAATTTAAAGATTCCTACCTAACCTTTCAAGTGCCCATCAAAAGACAACAAGTGTATCTAACCAAGATTGCATTAGATTGCATTAGGAACCGAGTTTTGTTTTATTTACTTATTTATTTATTCATGAACATACCAACATATTTTATAGATAATAATATTTCTAAAACAGAGCTCGAGTACGAGAGATTTAAATTTCTACACGATTTAGACGTAGTAATTGAAATTGTTTAAAGATTTAAGAACCTTTAAGTAAGCTACGTCCGTCCGGGTATTTTTATACTTATTCATAATACTTTTCTTTTTAAAATGATATTTGATCTTATATGACTGATGTGAATGAATAAACAAATAGTTAGATAATAAAATTGTAAATAGAGTTGAGTCATGTTTTGAAAAATCGTAAGTGACAAACGTTTTTTCATAATATGGACAGACCTCTATAGATTTTTTCTATACATGAAAATGATATATTTCTAATATTTTTTGGTAAAAAATTAATTTATACATCTAACATTGTATCAATAAAAATTCTAAACCCATGATTTTTTTTTTTTTTTTTTGTTAGATTTGAATTGATACGTTAGGTTACAAATGTGCAAAGTTATAATTCTATCAATTAAATTTGTATAAGCTTCTTAAAATACTTAGAACTTTATTTGTCTACTTTAGCGTGTTACGTATGGTCATGAACCTCAGTTTTAAAACAAGCCTACTAGGGAGAGGTTTTTCACACTATAAGGAATGTTTCGTTTCTTTCTCCACTCAATGTGAGATCTCACAATCTACTCCCTTAAGGCTCAACGTTCTCGCTGGTACACCGCTTTGTTTGGCTCCAATACCAATCGTAACAGTCAGATCCGCTTTAGCCCATTATATAATGTTGTTAGTCTCATGATTTTAAAACACATCTACTAGAGAGAGGTTTTCACAGTCTTATAAGAAAGGTTTGGTTCCCCCACCCACGGATACAAGATCTAAGTCATTTGAAAATCATCAATTATATAAAAAGAAGAGTCTTTGATTTGATTCACTAAAACTAGTTTATTTTATTAGAATTGATTTATAACTATTCCCATTCAATATAATTTAAGATTCCTACCTATCCTTTTTACGTACCTATCAAATGAAAGAACAAAAACAAGAAGTGTCTATCAAACTACCATTATTTGTTTTGAAAAGTCATAAAAATTGGAGAATTTTATTTTATTTAATCATTCACAAAATATATTTAAATAGATAATTTTTATGAGAAGGTTTGTCATTTGTTCCCCGCCAGTAAATATTATCTTGTTTGAGTTTTTTTGTATAATTTTAATTAAAAAGTTTGTCCTCTTTAGACTTTCTCCTCAACACACTGTTAACATATATTGTTTTTTTTTTCTCCTTTCAAATTTATCTTCAAGATTTTTAAAACGCGTCTACCATTAATTTTCACACCCTTATCGGTAATGTTTTGATTTTTTCTTCCCAACATGGTGCTATCTCTTAAATTTTTAATATAAAAAAAAAAATAGAACATGGGTCATTTTTAAAATAAAAAAACTAATAAATATCAATATTCGTAAGCTTCACCATGTTTCATCATTATTTGACCAGCACTTTCTTGCTTTTCTGTCGACCAACCCATCGACAGTCCAGAATGTTTCAAATGTTGTTGGTCGGTTCAAGCAGCTCTAAATGACAAAAGAAACCAACGGCGGAAAACTGGTTGAAGGCCTTTTTGAACAGCAATAGCTACGCCACTATCAACAACTTGTGTTAAATGGAAGAAGTTTTGAGTATATCAATATGAGACCATTTAGTGGCCTTCATACTTACGGAAATTGTATTTCTTTCGTATGAAGAGATGCGACCCGCTTTTGACTTAAAAGTGATGCTATCGAGATGGTTTGTTTGAAAAGATTGAATCGGATGTGTTCATAATGAAAACAAAGAATGTGGTTGTGACAATGTGAATAGTATAGAGTAATAAAGTTGTCTTTTTTGTCAATAACATGAACTTAGCTCAGTAGTAGTTGCCACTTCTCTTTTCGAATCGATAATTCAAATAAGTCGTCTTTAAAGAAATAGTAGGGAGAGAATCTACGAGAATGTCATCTGGTTATTTTAGTTAAGAGTTTTTTATTTTTATTTTTTTACAATATGTGGAATAGGGAGATTGGAACTTCAAACTCTTTTAAGGGGCACAGATCAATTATCACTCAACTATGTTGATTTAGATATTTTATTGTCTTTTAGATGAGCTTTGAGTATGCATTTTTTTTTCTTTTTTTAGTATATTGATTAAGTTATTCACTTTCTGCCATATCTAGTTAAAGGAGACGTACGTAAGCCGACCATGTATATGTTCTTTAGAGCATTTTCTTTTGAGATTGTTCCGTGGTTGCCTATTGATATAGCCGGCAGGGGGACAGGAGATGACCATCTCAAGGCATAGCACAACCTACAAGCAAGCCCGCCAACTTTCTGGCAAGACAGTTTCCTGAGAAGGGAGTGGCTACCTACTAGAGCTTCGACCAACTACCATCGGTCATGTGATATCCCACATTGGTTGGAGAGGAGAACGAAATACCCTTTATAAGGGTGTGGAAACCTTTCTCTAGCCGATGCGTTTCAAAGCCTTGAGGGGAAGCCCGAAAGGGAAAACTCAAAGAAGACAATATTTGCTAGCAATGGGCTTGGGCTTGAGTCGTTACGGGTCAATTCCACTTTGGAGATAATTTTTAAATCGTCTTCTTATTGTTAAGACTTTTTTATTTAATAGTGAGAGATACATAAATGAACTACCGAAACTATAACCAAATAAGAGGTGTGATGGTAGAATGACTTAAAAATGCTTAAAATAATTGAAAATGACTACCTATGCCAACAAGATGTACCTTCATTTTCGGTGGTTCAATCATAAAAACCTCATAGTGTCAAATCTAGATTCCGAATCCTAGTCCAAATCTTAAACATGGGTCGTTCCACTTTCAATGAAAATGTTCGATTCTATTGGTTTTTTTTTTTTTTTTAAGTTAAATTATAAAATTGAAAGTAGCTCTATTAACAAAACTAAAGCTTGGGGCATGAAGAATAAAAAATTAATTAGGTCTTTGTAGTTTAATGGACTATTAATACTTTATTACCAAAGTGGTGCAATTTGATTTGATGGGATTTCTTAAAGCTCTTCTCCCGAATCCGACCAACTAATAATGCCATTTGTTGGTTGGAAGACAGTCAGAAACATGGAGACAAGAAACCAACGGCCCAAAACCTTAAAGTACTCAAACAATCCTTAAACAACGCGCAAAAACTCTCTCTATATATATCACAATGAACATTTCACTTCTTCACAATCTAAGCCTTCTCCTCTTCTCTTTTGAACATTTTCCCTCCTGTTTTTCCCACCACGATTCAAAATGAGCGTAGAAATTTTGGACAGTGCCACCATTGTCAACTTTGTGGAAGATGACGAAGTTTTTGGTGCAATAGTTCGAGAGCGTTTCAGTCACCTTGATATCGATGGAGATGGGGTTCTTTCTTATGAAGAGATGTTAAGGGAGTTGCAAAGTCTTAGGGTGTTCGAAACGCACTTTGGAATCGATGTGAAACCTGACCCGGACGAACTCTCTTCTGTTTATGGCTCGTTATTTCTGCAATTTGATCGAGACTGCGATGGGAAAGTTGATGTTGGTGAGTTCATGGAAGAAACCAAGAAGATGATGGTGGCAATGGCGAATGGAATAGGGTTTTCGCCGGTTCAAATGGTGTTGGAAGAGAATAGTTTTTTGAAGAAAGCGGTGGAGAGAGAATCCACCAAAGTTGGTGCTTAATTCAAAGTACTCTTTGATGATTATGTTAAACATTGCATTGTTGTGTATTATGTAATTGTGTTTAATTTTGAATTTCATTGAAATTTTGAATTAGAGAGTTTACTTAGTTGGTGAAGTATATTTAATGAAAGTGATTTGACAGACATTTCCCTACTTTCTTTACGATATAATCACGTTCAGTATGTTTTGTTCTCACTCATATGTTTTCTAAGAAACCTATTACTAATGGATTCAATATATAACAACAATATATACCAACCTTCGATTCAAGGGATAGAGCACAGTATTAGCACACGCGTTGCCGCCCAACACTATCCTAAGAAACCTATTACTAATGGAATACGCTCAAAACACTCGTCTTGCAAGACTCACACTCACCATGACACAAGTATGTGCTATGAGGTACTAAAGTTATCCCCAAAGTGGAATTGACTGATGTTTACTAAAGTAGAAGGATTCAAGGGACAGAGTACAGTATTAGCACATGCGTGCCGCCCAACACTATCCTAAGAAACCTATTACTAATGGAAGACGCTCAAAATACTCGTCTTGCAAGACTCACACTCACCGTGACACAATTATGTGCTATGAGGTATTAAAGTTATCCCAAAATGGAATTTACTGATGTTTACTAAAGTAGAAGGAGAGAATATAGATCAAAAATATATTTTAAAAAAAACTAATTCTTTTAATTTCCATTTACCACCTTTAATATTCAAAAAATTAGAAAAAGAACATGGGAATATAATTTAAAATAATAATAATAATGAATGCATGTTGACTATCAAATGCTTCATTATTAGCCATTAGATTTGAAGGGATTTCTTAAACCTCTATTCCTAATGCGACCAACCTCCGCAATTGCCTCCACAAAGATTTTGACTTCTTCTTCTTCTTCTTATAATCCATGGAACACAGTCAAAAACATTTAGAAATAAAACCATCAAACATCCTTAAACTAAACAACGCACCAAAAGCTGTGTGGAAGATGAAGAACCCTTTAGCGCGACGATTCGAGAGCGTTTTAGTCACCTCGACATCGACAGAGACAGCGTTCTTTCGATGGAGAGATGCTTAGGGAACTGCAGGGTGTTAGGATGTTTGAGACCCATTTTGGAATTGATGTGAAACTTGACCCAAATGAGCTTTCTTCTGTGTATGGCTGAACAAAATAGCTTCTTGAAGCCATGAAAGTGGCTGCTAATTGAGCTTCTTTTTTGTTTGTACAAGTGAGTTCTAAGATATGTTGTGTTCCTCTAAATTCAAATATTGAATACTAGACCTAATGGACTTCTTCTTTGTCGGTTTACTTGGGCAAGAGAAAAATAATAAATTCGACAAATTTATCGGTTTGTATCAATTTTTATCATAAACTTTTAATTTCATCGATTTACTCTAAGCTATGTGTGAGATCTTATATTGGTTGGGGAGGATAACGAAGTATTCTTTATAAGAGTGTAGAAACCTCCTCATAAGAGACGCGTTTTAAAAACCTTGAAGGGAACCTGAAAAGGAAAGCCCACAAGATGACAATATCTGCTAGCGGTGGGCTAAGGTCGTTACAAATGGTATCATAGCCAAATACTAGGCGATGTACCAGCGAGGAGGCTGTTCCCTAAGGGGTAGACACGAGGCAGGCGGTGTGTCAGTAAGGACGCTGGGCTCTAAAGGGGGTGAATTTGGTGGGGGTCCCACATCGATTGGAGAAAGAAACGAGTATCAGTGAGGAAGCTGTTCCCTGAAGGGGGGTAGACATGAGGTAGACGGTGTGCCAGTAAGAACGCTGGCCCCAAAGGAGGTGAATTTGGTGGGGATCCCACGTCGATTGGAGAAAGGAACGAGTGTCAGCGAGGACGCTGAGCCCTGAAGGGGAGTAGATTGTAAAATCCCACGTCGGTTGGGGAGGAGAACGAAACACCTTTTATAAGAGTGTGAAAACCTCTCTACCTAGCAGACACGTTTTAAGAACCTTGAGGGTAAACCCAAAGACAACAATATCTGCTAACGGTGGTGGATTTAGCCGTTATGGTTCTATTATTGCATTGTTTGAAAGTACTAAAGTTTGATGTATTTACTAAACTTCCGAGAAAGAAAAAAAAAATTGAATTGTTCAAATTCAAATTAAAGGAGGATACATTTAATAATAACATGAATGGTGAGATACACAAATTACTAAGTACATAAGTACATTAATAGATGTTCAAGTCTCAACCAAGAATCATGAATATTGATCTTGTTTGATATATTTTTAGGTTTGTATAGAACAAAGTAAAGTTCGTTACCAAACATACAAGATTTTTTTCGTTTTTTCAAAATTGTGTGAATAAGAGAATAATTTTCTTTCTCCGACTCTTGAGCTATACCCTCTAAATAATTTATTCTATTTTAAAATAGCTTAGATGAAATTTTTAAAACATGTTTAAGCATTGATGCAATGCCTAAAAAATTTAGGATTCACATTGATGGGAATATGATTCACTTTCAAAAGGTGAAGCGTTGGTAAAATGGAATAATTCCTTCTTTGTTTGGGCTTTCTTTGGTCAAAAAACACTGAAATAAAAAACAAATGGCCACAGCGATGAAGGTTCCAGAGAGATTATTTATATGATAACCTGACCCAATTCAAGATCATTCCCCATTACCTTCCTCCTATCTCCTCTGTTCTTCAGCTAAAGATCAGAAATGAGTGTGGAGATATTGGACAGTGCCACCATTGTCAACTTCGTCGAAGATGAGGCAGCCTTTGGTGCCTGCATAGGAGACCGGTTTGCTCACCTCGACACGAATCATGACGGTCTCCTTTCCTTTAGTGAGATGTTGAAGGAGTTGCAGAGCCTCAGGGTCATCGAGGCCGATTTTGGAATCGACGTGAAGCCTGATCCAGATGAGCTTTCTTCTGTCTATAGTTCTATGTTTTTGCAGTTTGATCGTAACTCGAGTGGAACGGTTGATCTGGATGAGTTTAAGGCTGAGAACAAAAGGATGATGCTAGCTATGGCTAATGGGATTGGAGCTTTACCTGTTCAAATGGTGCTAGAAGAGGGCAGCTTCTTGATGAAGGCTGTTGAGAGAGAAGTTGCTATAATGACAACTTGAGCATTCCGATTGCTCTTATTCATAAGAACTGTATTAGTTCTTTTTCAGCAAATGAATGTCAATGCATAAAAATTTCCTCTAGATTCCGAAAAACGTATATATATAGCCGTTAGCTTACACGTAATTCTACCGCAACACGAACCGTATTTTCTACTTGCAAATAGATGATAGTTACTACAAGAACAGGGACAATTCAGGAGATGGAATGAAGCAGAACATACTTTCACCAAACAAATCTAACATAGATGTTAACAACTTTCCAGAATTAAGATCCTCTTTCCAGACTTGAGATAGGACAGCTGACCTTTTAAGAATTTGATCGTCACGCTTGCCCTTACTACTAGTGCTGCCTGAAACCATTTCGTCTTGCGTCGGTCGAGAAGATGTAGGCGAAATCAGATTGGAATTGCCAGAGGCAGCTGGAATGACTGTTCCTTCCATGTATGATGCCGATGAATTAGTTGGCGTGACACCCATCGGGCCATCGATTACCATCTTCTTGAGCGGAGGCTGCCCTTCTAAGTGGTCTGCATTCGACTTGCGCTTGTCTAACATTACACGTGTCGAAAATAGATGAATTTTAGCATGTGAACTTCATCGAGAACTAAAATACTCCAAAACTTAGGATGCATCAAATATTTACATCAAGTCATTCTAGGAACAAAAATTTCCAGCTTAGAGAAAAAAAAGACTGAAGTTGATGGTTTTTTTTGCATCTCAGTAGTTCAATTCAAAGAAAGTTGCAAAGAACGTACTTGAGAATGTTGTGGTGATAACTTTTGCATTCGTCTGAAGGACAGAACCTGCAAGCGTACTAGGCAGAGGAGGAAAAATCTTGACACGATCGTATATGTATTGACCGACCGCTCGCTGAAAAATGTATTATGTCATTATAAGATTACATCAGTTTCTACGGAACATTCTGGTAAGAAACTGAGAAAGTTGCATGAAAACTCACTAGCAAGGCTCCATAAACACGCCAAGCTTCATGCCGTTTCATCTCATTCTTTTGACTAGCAAGAAGCATCTCAGGTTCCAAAAATCTCAGATATGGCTCAAGATTTGGTAGTACAAGGAGGTGAACCTATATAGAATATCACTATTATAAACTGATATCTATGCATGAATTACTGAAATATACCAATCATAAATAACTAAGAAGTCAGAGATCATTGCAGTTTTTTACTTCTACTGAAATTGCAAATGAGAGATGCGGATATCATATCTAAATCTCTTCCCTTCCTCAAACACGTTAGTTTTCTTTCCATTAAGTCATTTTCTTTTTTGCATCCTTCTCCAATCTTCAACCCCATAGTCTAATTAATGAAGCGTGTGAGAAGAGCATACCACATTCATCCCCAAGGCTGCCAAGCCTTGAACTGCACCATAATGTTGAGTCAGAGACCGCTTTGGGTCTAAAAATGCATTAAGAAGAGTTTTTGTGAGCTTTGTCTGCAGAGTGTTGTAAACATGACCGAACCTGCAACATTGGAACTGCAATCTTACAGAATAGATCCAAAAGCAAGACGCCTTGGAAGGAAAATGGCAGATGACAAAGAATTATACCACGGTATAAACATTTGTTTTAGCCTAATAGGTTGTTTTTTATCCAGAACATGCTTCCATTGACAATAAAATGAAAGAACACAAAAGGGCATGAAGAAAACAGCCCAACAAAAGGGAACGCCACATCCGAAACTAACTATTCAGAAAAGGGGTCTAATCCGAAAAAACACGGCCTAAAGGATAATTTCGAAGAGTCTCCATAATAGATGCTCAAAGAGATGCATTAAATCTAACAAGAAACTGAGATCTCTCAACTCCACTCTAACCTCATCCCCAAATAATAGCAAGTATATGTAAGTATATGTATAACAGTCCAAGCCCACCGGTAGCAGATATTGTCCTCTTTAAGCTTTCTCTTATGAGTTTCCCCTCAAGGTTTTAAAACGCGTGCTAGGGAGAGATTTCCACACCCTTATAAGGAATGCTTTGTTCCCATCTCCTACTAATGTGGAATCTCACAATCCACCCCCCTTGGGGGCCAGCGTCCTCGCTGGCACACTACCCAGTGTCTGACTCTGACACAATTTGTAACCGCCCAAGCCCACCGCTAGCCGATATTCTCCTTTTTGGGCTTTCCCTACCGAACTTCACCTCAAGATTTTAAAATGCGTCTGCTAGGGAGAGGTTTTCACACCCTTGTAAGGAATGTTTTGTTCCCTTCTCTTCTCCAACCAATATAGGATCTCATAATATGCCCCTTATCCTAAGATGATGGAGGAGAATGACCTCCATCATGGCCGAGCAGGTTTAATGAAAACATAATATTAAAGTAACCTATTGTCTCCATAGCGATGTAAAGTAAAATTTATAAATACCAAATCCAGTTTGATATGCTTTCTACATACGCCTGAACTATTTATATAATCAAATCATGTTGTTAGGTCATACAAGACATGCACTTCCAAAACCATGCAAAAAACCAAGCCCTAATTGTGTATGGCCATACTCAAAATTGATAAGCATTTGACTAAGTAGATCTGGCAAAATCAATCACCTTTTACAGATTAGAGCAACCACTTTTGCTGTGAAGTCTCTAAGTTCCCAGTGGTTGTCTGAAAGCCTATTCCCTAACCTTTTTGCGACGAGGCAGGTCACAACAGATGGCATCATTTGGTGTAGCTGACAAGAAAAGACACCTGCCTCAGAGACAGATTAACACCTTCCACAGACAGCACCAAGCAAAACCATAAATATTATCCTTATAGTTGCCTCAAAACATGGCTGACTCACAATGTAAGAATAGAATGCAAACTAAATATCCTTTGAACAAGTTGAAGAATTATGAGAATCATGGAAGATAAAGCAGGCCAGGATGTTGATAGTGACCTGGCTGCTATAGAACATCTACGAGTTGTCAAAATACCACTAACTTAGACATTCGTGAGCCTCAACTCAATCTTTAGAGAAAAAAGATGACTTAACAGATACATTGAATTCAACTCACATAAGGTTCGATGTGGATGTGAGGATTCTGAAGAAGACTCCAAACAACACGCATTAAAGCAAAAAGAAGGGAATAATCACCCAGTCCACGTGCAACCTGATATCGTTGGAGAATCAAGAACAAAAAATTCTAAATAAAAATTCATAAGAACTTCTAATGGAATCTGCAGATCTTGTATGCTCAAACATTCATACCTCATCAGCTATAAAGCATGTAAAATAAGGAACCAATGGGTGAAGTCCTGAGTCCGTAGATAAACTCACTAATGCCTTCTTAAAAAGAACTGAATTAGACCTACTAACAACAAGCTCCGTGATTTTGTCAAAATATAGCTGCAAACAATGTAATGAAAACATGTAAGTTAGCAACCGATTAAACTTTAACAGAACAATATAAGCAAATAACAAATCAATTACCTGAAGCTCCTTGGACAGTATATGCTTAACTGGTAATTTAATGTCAACAGGAAGCCCCTCCTTTTGTTCATTAATTTTGACATCAGAAGGTGGTAAAATTACTGTAGATAGGAAGGACAATATACACGTTGTTAAATAACTTGGACTACTTGTTGAGGATTGTCAGGAGAGAGTCCCACGTTGGCTAATTTAGGGAATGATCATGAGTTTATAAATGAGGTCTTTTGGGAAAGCCCAAAACAAAGTCATGAGAGCTTATGCTCAAAGTGGACAATATCATGTCATTGTGGGGAGAGTCGTGGTTCCTAACACTACTGCAACTATGCAAGTAGGGAAAAAGGGAAAGAGTAAATGAAAGAATAAAGAATAAAAGTACATCTAATTCTATCTTCCTATTGGAAATATTAAAATAAATTTAACCATACGACCCTTCGATCATAAGCAAACTCCTCCATAACCAACAATGGAAAAAGATTGTTTTGTTAACTGTAGTCGGTTTTCATTTGGGCCCTCGAACGCTCGCTGAAAACATTTTTTTTTTTTCAAAACCAACGAACACAGAAATATCTTCTACATGCTACCATGTAAATGGCTGCTAGCAAAATTTCAGTTGTTTAAATTTTGGGTATCCAAATAAACTATCTGCCAGACTTGTGCGTAACAACAATCACATTTTAGTCAGATTTGAGACAAACCTTCTACAGGAGCATTTTCTGGTATTGCAGGCTGTACACCTTCAATCGCTAGCCAGTGGCAAAAAACTGCAGTATCAAGAGGAGCTTTTGGCAATGGGGCATCAATGACCTATGAGTAGAACACACGTTCACATTCATTTAAAGACGTTGACCAGAATGGACCAGCTAGAATGGTGAAAAAATTACTTACATCTTTAAATTCCAGGTCCTTGTCCTCAAGGTAAAACAGATCCCTATGTCCAATAGCTCTTTTAAATCTCAAGGGGCCTCCAGAAGCAAAGCCATACATTGGCTGCCACATCAACATCAAAAAGGAAGAGTGAATAATGTTCCTTTTATTACAAATTGAAAAAAGGAAAAAAGGCACGTTAAAGGAGATTTTTTTTTAATCGCCCTTCTATTACGCTAGAATGAAAAGATTCCACACGAGCTCCCATTTTGGGGCGTGGTGACAAGATCAATAGGGGATCGGCTCCCGAGTGTAGGTATAGTCAAATCTGCAAGCGTCGTGTAAATACATAGGCCCAATCTCTTTTGGATGAATGGAGTGATTAAAAAGGGGTTAGGCGGGTAGTCTGGGTCCTCTGACTTCTAGTGATGTGTGGTGCGGCTCCCGCAAAGCGAATGAAAGGAAGCTGGCAAAGAAAGCTCGAGGGTAGCGGCTTATGTAGTGGTCGGTTAGCAGAAAACTCGCTAAACTTCGCTTCCCTCTCCCCTTCCCTTATTCAATTAAGTGGAAAGTCTTCCATCACCAATTCATGGATATTTCAAGTGATCCAATCATTTTGATTGCCAATGTCAATACGATGCAGTAGGCATCAAAGACACAGGAAGTGGTAAGAAAAATTCAGATGGTCCCAATTTAAATCCTTTTACATAACGAAACTTATGGCTTCCTTAAATGGTGCATCACTCATCAGAATGGCAACTACTACAGTCTATTAGATCACCCTAAATCAAGATCATCAACATTTAAAACTCATTGTATTTACCTCCACATTTCTCAGGTTTAGTGCACCATCAACATCATCGGCTGTCAACGTAGTTCTCTTCGAGTGACGCATACATTTGATGGCCTCCTAAAATTTGAGTAAGAGAAAGATTTAGCTCATCCATCATTTCATATTCTACAAGTCACATTATATTTACAGAGTTTTAGGTATCATAATCTAGAACCACCAGAACAAAGATGTGTGACCTCTCATTCAGTTTGGCTGCACATTATATAGCATGAATGCCAACATCCATTCCGTAAACAAGAAAATTACCTGCATGATCTCCCGCAAACGATACTCCACATCAGGAGCAACTGCCAATGCGACATCTGGGGACAAATTATTGATCCCAATACATTGCGCAATGACCTCAACGTTTTCTTTAGGAACAATACTCATTTTCTTGCTTCAAAATCTGATGTACATACGTCCTACAATATAAAACGCCAATTAACCAAAACCTCCGTAAAAATGGACAAGATTCATAGAGAAGAAGGGGGGAAAGACCCTCTCAAGCTTAGACCTAAGCTTGACCAAAAAAGCTCCTAGTGGGCAAATTTGCAAAGACCCAACAAAATACTAAATGTAAAAATGAAGAAATTCCCCACACTTCCCCTAAAATTCCACTTCCGACAAACAAAACTACGCTATTGAAATTGAATCGACAATCAACAAGAAGCAAAATTTCAAAGAGCGAAGAGCTTACGGTAACGATGATGAGTGGGGAGTGAGCGGAGGAGCAGGAAGTTTGAAGCTTTAGCAATTTATAAGAGGAAAGTCCCGCAGAATGGATCCAGTAGAAACGGCAGGTACATAATGTAGAACTAAGCGAACCCGGATGAAACGGGTGACCCGCTTTTCGGATCCGAACATGTCTTCATTCGGATCTCCAGGCAAACACGCTTTTGAAAATTAGACCATATTAAGAGGGCTAAATTTAAAATTTTAAACTATACAGACTAAATTGCAAAAACTATTGTTACACCTCAAGAATTAGTACAAAATTTAAAAATAAATAAATAAATAAATCACCAAATAATAAAAACTAAATTTTAAATTTTTATTTTTATATCTAACCAGACGTAAAGACGCTTAAGATGATTTCACGATGTGATAAGAATTAAATATAAAATTTTAATTTAATCCCAAAAGAAAAAATTTAAATTAAAAAAATATATATATCTTTTTTCTTTGGTTGCCTTTATTTCATTTGAGATTGAGCCCATGCCCTGCTCTAGAAACACTGCCCCCATTTTGCAGCTTATCTGAGTTGTGGCCATTACTTGCAGGTCTCTCTCTCTCTCTCTCTCGCTCTCTCGCTCTCTCTCTCTCTCTCTCTCGCTCTCTCTCTCTCTCTCTCTCTCGCTCTCTCTCGCTCTCTGGGCATGACTTTCAGTAGAGTTAAGACTAAAAGAAGGCTGTTTTCCGAGGGTTTCTGTTCTGGGTTTTGATGTTTTTACTGAATTGAAATGGGAATTAAAGAGGAAGGTGTTCTTGAGGAATCGCTCGTTCAGGAACCATGAGAACAATGTAAGATGGGATTTTGGTTTTTTTCGATTTTGTACTGAATTGTTTTTTTTTCTTTTTTTTCTTTTTTTGTTATTGTCGGCAACCTGTTTGTTGAAATGCCAAGCTGAACTTTCTTCTCCTTTTTAGTTGTTCTTTCACTTGCTTTAGTTTTCAATTTCATTTGTATCCCAATGGTTTGATTCAAATGTAAAGATGCATATTGAAATTGAAACCATCGAGTCAATCATCTTTGATACTATTTATGTTCTTTGATACTATTTATGTTAAGGCAACCCCTTGTATACTAAGGATAAGAATTATCATAAACAGTTAGCAACCACCTAAACATAAGATGGATGAATAGTGAAAAGTGTTGGATGATGAAAGTCTTACGTCGGCTAATTTAGTGAATGATCATGGGTTTATAATCAAGGAATACTCTCTCCATTGATACGAGGCATTTTGGAAAACCCCAAAGTTATGAGAGTTTATGCTCAAAGTGGACAATATCATACCATTGTGGAGAGCCGTGTTCGTTCTAACATAGTATTAGAATTATGCCCTAAACTTAGTCATGTCAATAGAATCCTCCTCAAATATTGAACAAAGAATTGTGAGCTTCGAAGGTGTAGTCAAAAGTGACTAAAGTGTCGAACAAAGGGTGTATTTTGTTCGAGGGCTCCAGAGAAAGGAGTTGAGCCTCGATTAAGGGGAGGCTATTCGAGAGCTCCATAAGCCTGAGGGGGAGGCTTATAATGTACTTTGTTCGAGAGGAGGATTGTTGAAGATTATTAGGAGTGAGTCCCACGTACCTTCGAGATCAATATTTCGATCCAAAGTAAAATCCTTATTATTGACCTTAGTTCAGACTGATAAACACCATTGAAGCAACACAAGACAACAGAAGAAGAAAAAGTACAATTCTTTATAGTGTCAAAACGAAGTACTTCCTCAAGATGGATATCTATTCATAGCTCACATATAGCACTTAAAAAGAAGAACAAGAAGAAGAATGGTACTAGACCATCTCAGAAATTGGGTAGTCATAAAGAGCTGGCTTCTCTTTAAAGATGCATATGATAGAATAGAGGTATTTATTGACCCAGAAGGGGCATATGCAATCATATAGTACAAAAGACCAGATGTTTCATGGGTTATAACCGATTCCATCTCCATTCTCGGACGACTATGAAATGGAATTCGATAATACAACTTCACTCCACTATAGTATAGTTATTCTTTACTAAGATATTATTCGAAACAGAGGACTGGCATCTAGATCCTATCAATATCTTCGTCCTCAAACTCGATATAAGCATCACCACCACCTTCATCGTCATCGTCCATACCCCCAACAATACCCTCATTAAGACGTGTATTCTCAGGTAGCTCACCATAAGCTTTCAAAAGCCTAGCTTCATCAGGCATGTATTTGAGAATCACGTCAGCTTTGTCGTCTTGATAGTCACGAAGACCAACGAGTATGATATCCCCAGCTGCAATCCAAACTTTCTTGTGCATTTTTCCCCGAATATGACAAAGACGTTTAGTCCCGTCGATACACATCGCTTCACACCGACCATTACCTAGCATTCGGAGCACTTGAGCATATTCTTGCCCATCTTCCTTAAACACAAGCTCACGCTTCTCATCATCTGCCTCATTCTTACCTCTCTTCCTATTCTTACCTCCCTTTCCCTTGTTCTTTGGCATGGTTGCAAATTATTCTATCAAGATAATGGAAAATCAGCCACCAGAAACATAGCTTCACAAACTAAGCTAGAAAATAAAGGGGAGTTTGTTCGATAAACAACTATGTGAAGAAGATCACTAGCAAAATCTGAATTAACTATGAATATCAGAACAGATTTGCCAAAATAGGAAAAAGAGGCAGACAACACTTATGAGTAACCAATCAGCAAATATGACCCTCGCGTGGGGTTTAACTAGCACAACAGAAAATCCCCTTTCAGCTTTCTGATGAAACTCTTACTACTATAACCTTTTTGCATCGGTACTCATTGAAATCCACCGTTTTACATGCGATGCAAGCAATTAAAGAGTACGAAATCAAAAAAACTGGCAACCTACTACGAAAATCGAAAATATTCCCTCGAATTAATGAACTTATCATCATCTTCTTCAGCACCAGAGAAAATAACCGAACAAAAGAACATCTAACGAAGAGGAGTATACATAGAAATCCCTAAAATCGACATGCATGGACATGGTTATGAATTTGAAGGAAAAGAACAGCCGAAGAGTACCTTCTTAGCACAGAGAATTTGATCGAGCAAGCTAACAGAAGAAAGAAAGCTGTCTAAATTCGAACCTCAGGAATGAGAATTTTCTTATGCACTTATAACCGTGGTACAGAGAATCCTTTGTGGTCGGGTCGGGTCGGGTCGGGTTCGGGATTTGGGCCCGTTTCTATGATCCATATACAAGCCCAAAAAGTTGGTCCAATTGATGCATGGGAAGTTTTCTAGTATATACTCCTATTTTCACTAAAAATAATTCATAAATAATTGGGATTCTCGACTTTTTTTAACGTCTTTTCGTACACACTATTTAAGGTCAATTGACTTTCGTACACACTAATCAAAGAGATAGTGAAACCCTCGTTGAATCAAGTCAGGGACCCCTGGGTGGTAGCCTAATCGAAGAAGTTGAGCTTATGCCGCCCCAACTTTTTTTTTATAGGATATTTGAAGAAAGAAGCCCCTTCATTATTATTAGTAAGGGCGACTTCATAAAAAGCAAGAAAAGCGCCCAACAAACTACGAACCGTGATCGACTGGGATCATGAGAATTGCCTAGAACTTCTTGGCTCACGTGTCCCGAATTATTAATGGATTCATGGTTTATGGAGATCATATTAATACCATTAATTATGTTTCCCATATCATTAATATGAAAAATATTCGACAATAATTATTTAATAAACAAATAAATCATTCAATTAATAGAGTTATTTTCTTATATTTTATGTTCCATTTGAAGATTGAAAAGCCCAAGCCCAAATCCCAAAGCCCAAACTTATAACCGAGCCCATTTGTAAAGCCCAATATCTGAAAATCCCAAATGCGAGAGCAACCCGAAATTAAATTCTTAGGGTTAGGGTTTTGATCCTCAGGTTCGATTTCATTCTCCATTTTCACGTTTCCCTTTCATCGGCGACAGGGTTTCGTTCTGTTACTTCGATTTCCATGGCGACGCCAGCAGTGAATGCCCCGGCAAAGAGGAAGCCTGTGTTTATTAAAGTTGAAGATCTAAAGCCTGGTTCGAGCGGCCACACTCTCACCGTGAAGGTCGTGAGCTCCAAAAATGTCAAGGTTGTCAATAAAGGAGGACGATCCGCCATGCCTACGGCTCGCCCTCAGCAATTAACTCGCATCTCTGAATGTCTTGTTGGTGATGAGACTGGTTCTATCGTCTTCACAGCTCGAAATGACCAAGGTACGTTTCTGTGTTGATGTAGAATGTTCGTGAACCTAATTTTTCTCATTTTTTGGAGGTGATTTTGTGTATGGTTACTAAAATAGTTGGATAGACTGGATGGATATGGATTTCCTTTTGTTTAGATATTTTTTTTTTTAGAATTGAGAGCTCTTTGTTTCTGTTGGAATGTTCTTTTTTGGTTACGAACTTCATCTTTGTTCTTGGTGAATTAAGTATTCTTCTCTGTAACTTTTTTTTATAACTAGGAATGGAAACTTTTCTTTTGTAATTGAGAAATTTCCTTTGTAGTTACAATGAGTCCCAAAAAAAAATTATATAAGCTTGGGGGATCTTTTGTTCAGTTAATTTGTGTTTGAATGGTTATGTTCTTATGGTAGTGTATAAACAAGCAACGTACTTCTCTAAATTCTTTGGCATCAAAAGATATTCTGAAGCTGGATGATTATATTTTGTTATTGTTGGTTATTGAAATGGACGCAAGAACTTACATTAGTGGGAAATTTGAGTTTGTGTTCAACTTATTGTGGGAGTTCTAAAGGCTGTGGAGTAATCTTCAATCATTGCTCCCTACCCATCACCAGCAAAATGAAAAGGTTCAGAGCTTATGGCGTTTTCATGTCATTCTGAACCAATGTTTGTAATTTTTGCAGTTGATCTCATGAAGCCAGGAAACACTGTGACCCTGCGGAATGCTAAGATTGACATGTTCAAAGGTTCTATGAGGTTAGCAGTAGATAAATGGGGACGAATTGAAGTCGCCGAACCAGCTGACTTCGAGGTTATAGAGGACAACAATCTGTCACTGGTTGAGTATGAACTGGTTAATGTTGAAGAGTGACTTCGAAGTATGCAGTGTTAATTTATCATGGATTTACATTCTCTATTGTGTGGTGGACTGCTTTTTTACTGGTATACAGTTTTATATGGGAACACAAATCTTGCTGGAGGGTAATATAAGTTGACTATTGCTGTGACTACTAAGTGTTCTACCTGCTTAATTTGGGTCTGAATGTGATACAGATCTTGGAAGGCAAGGCCAAATGTTAATTTATCTGCTTGTATTGGTTGGAAAAGTATATAGAAGGTTTTACTCATGGATCTTCGTTATGTTGCATCACTTGTCTCTAACTATTGTGACATTCAGCTAACTTCTTTGATCAATTGTTTCCTTATCAAAAGGTGAGCTTTCATCCTTTAACTATCACAGATGTGTACTCATCATAAATTTTGATCATTTCTAAGATAGAATTTCAACATGTCTAAATCATTCAAATTAGAAGATTGACTTGAAGCTTATGTGCAAAAGAAGCAAAAATTAAAACAAGATTTTCACGCCATCGAATTTCACCGCCTAAACTTGGTTCCAAGCCAGTCACCGTTTAAATAGAGTGGATGATTACCTTCTGAATTCTTAAAATCTATTGTTGGACCTATAAATGTAAACGGTGAGATCTCAATCTTAAACAAAACATTCTTTATAAGAGTGTGCAATTGGAGGTTAGGAGGTGAACAAAACATTCTTTACAAGAGTGCAAGCAGTGGGCTTAGGCTGTTATAAATAGTATCAGAGTCAGGTATCAGACGGTGAACACTAAACTCCAAATGGGGAAGATCCCACATCGATTGAAGAAGGGAACATAACACAATAGTATTAGAGTCAAGCATCGGACGGTGAACACTAAACTCTAAATGGGGAAGATCCCACATCGATTGAAGAAGGGAACAAAACATTGTTGATAAGGGTGTGAAAGGGTGTGAAAATTTATCCTTCGCAGACAATTTTAAGGAGAAGCTCAAAAGGAAAAGTTCAAAGAAAACAATAAAATAATATTTGCTAGCGGTGGGCTTAGGCTGTTACAAATAGTATCAGAGGCAGGCATCGGACGGTGAACACTAAACTCCGAATGGGGAAGATCCCACGTCGATTGAAGAAGGGAATAAAACATTGTTTATAAGGGTGTAAAAATCTCAAACATTGTTTATAAGGGTGTGAAAATCTCTCATTCGCAGACGCATTTTAAGAACCTTGAGAGGAAGTTCGAAAGGAAAAGCTCAAAAAAAACAATACCTCTACCGATTAGCATCAAAATTCCCTCTACACCCCAATAGATCATTTGAATGGGACTCACCTAAAAGCCATAATAACTTTTTAAAGTGGTGGAAAACAAGCATCAGCATCAAATACGAAGCTCTACATAAGTCTCTCCATTAGCATTTTTAATTCATAATTGCACGACATTTCTATAAAGGAATCCACCATGAAGGCCCCACGAGTCCAATTCCAAATAAAAGGCAAATGTCTGTCCACCGTAGATCTTCCTATGCAGTAGTCTAGTAATCAATGGCTACACAAACTAAACATTAAAGACATGCAAACCTGACTGAACAGACATGACCAAATACCTGTGCATCAGCTCATCTAACTTAGTAACGGGCATTGTCACAATGGAATCCCTTTAACTATTCATCACATATCATCATTAAACACTGATTAAACGTTACATATCATCATTAAACACTGATTAAACACTGATTAAACATTCAATGCCAAGTATGTAGATGAAATAGTCGTGAATCTTAAACCTCAAATTACATGATGAACATGCTCATAACCATTTACAAGTTCAAACTCAAAGCGGCTAGTTAATTGCCTCTAATTCCACTGATGAATCATTCGATTAATAATTTTTAGGGTTAGTATTGAAGGACTAAGGAATATGTAAACAGAAGTCGAACGGGATGAAATGGGTTAAGCCATGTGCCTGCACATGCTCTCATACGCCGCCACACGCCGCCACATGCCAAGTTTCCCTCGCCCACTCGCGGACTAGCGCGCCCTAAGCCCATGCGCCTTCTTCCTTCCTCGTACTTGTAATTTTTCAAAAATCTTAAAAGTGAATAAACAAGGTGTACGAGTAGTACCTGTGATTCATGAAACAAACGTAAGCCTAGGGAGCTAACCAGGGGTCAATCCCAGCAAAAACATCTTCGAACAAGGTCCTCGCATCAAATACCACGATCTAATTCAAAAATCTCACCCAATTGAGCACATCTAGCATATTTTTTTCTCATAGTTGCAAGATCAATGACGAACTCCATTGAGTGTATCATAGAACTCAATAGTTACACTAACCTGTTCAACACTATACTTTGATTATGCTATACAAAAACAAGAAGTAAGAACTTTCAAGGAATGGGCCAAATCATGTCATTTCTCGAGAACAATAGCTAAGAATCCTAATACTACCACTTGGATCTAGAACTGATCGGAACCTTTTGGTGCCCATTTCTGTCAACTCTCCACTATCTTTCTTTGGCTGAATGGGCTACTGCTTCGCAGCTGAATATGTCTGAATATCATGATAATGCCATGATATTCCTCTTAACCGTAGGTAAATGGGAATAGACTCAAAAGTTTCTCACGTTCCTCAAATCACTCAAAATCTTATGACGGTTGCTCGTTTAGCTCAAAAAAGGACTGTTTTGTCAAGGACAGGGCAACAAGGGAAGTAATGCTACATGAGGTACTTAAGGAAGGCCACTATCAATTGAAGCTACCACTCCTAGGATCTCAGCTCAAACACATCAGCTATGTCTCCTACTGTGAATAGTTTAATCTCTATGGCTAATGGTTCCAGATTACACTGAAGAAGTTGGAGAAGCCTTAGAAAACATGGAAAAAGCCAAACCGATCTCATTATCTGATGCAGACAACGTCTAAAAGCGGTATTTTTATATCTAAATACTGGAATTTCTTGGCCAACACAAACATAAAGCTTTGTCAAATGAGTTTAATAATCAAGAACCTTTGTCGGTGTTCATAGATATGAGAATGTTCTGTACTTAAATCAAGAAAAATATGTTATCTTAAAGCTTGTAACACATAAACATCCTCAGATTTCACGCATTATTAGCAAACTGAGAATGATGCAGATTGGGGTTGAAAGGAACCAGGACCCACAATGGTATGATATTGTCCACTTTGAACATAAGCTCTCATGGTTTTGCTTTTAGTTTTCCCAAAAGGCCTTATGCCAATGGAGATAGGATTCCTTGTTTATAAACCTATGATCTTCCTCTTAATTAGCCAATGTGGGACTATTTCTCTCTCAAACAAAGTACACCATAGAGCCTCACCTAAGGGGAGTCCTCGAACAGCCTCCCCTTAATCGAGGTTCGACTCTTTTCTCTGGAGCCCTCGAATAAAGTACATCATTTGCTCAACACTTGTCACTTTTGACTACACCTTCCAGGCTCACAACTTCTTTGTTCGATATTTGAGGATTCTATTGACATGGCTAAGTTAAGAGCATGACTCTGATACCATGTTAAAAACCACGAATCCACAATGGTATGATATTGTCCACTTTAAACATAAAACTCTCGTGGCTTTGCTTTTGGTTTTTCCAAAAGGCCTCATTTTCTCTCTCTTTTGACACTTCTCAGATAACTCAAAAAACTTTATAAATAATCAGGTCAGCAAGATCTCTATAAGGAGTCAAATAATCAATCTGTACAAAACAGATTTCACAGCATCCTTACAAAAAAAAAAAAAACATTACTATATATATTTTTAGCTTTACATGACTTTGGATTAGTAGATTTTTGTTCTTTTATAGTCTGGAAGAACCAAAAACAATGGTATAACTGTAAAATGCATTCACTATGTTTGAATGGAACCAAAAACAATGGCGTTTTTTAGACTACAAGTGTCAAAGAACTTGGGAGCATAGAACAAGGATGTGACACTCAAGCTTTGTAGATTGAAACCCATCTTTGTTACAGAGTTTATAGACAGAAAGATGAATGCAAACCAACTTGTGATGTGAGCAATACAAGGAAATTCTTTCGCAATGTTAGAAAGAATTGAAACTTCAGGCACTGTTTTTGTTTTGTCTTTGTTATGTTTTATGTTTTGGTCTGTATTTATTGGTAGATTGACTCGGTATACATGTTTATTCTATATATATTTGTGCATGCTCACTCCTGTATGCTCTCGCCATCGAATCATTCACAACTTAGTGTATTAGTAGGATCCTCTATGACTTTCACTATTATTTTGTGATGCATTCCTTAATAGAATGAGTTCTTACGTCAAAGCATCATAAATTCTACTGTAATCACAGTGAATTGACTTATCGATCAGCAGTAAAATGTATTTTTCTTGCTACTTAACTGCTAATTTGGTCCTGATTTAAGAAGCTCGTGGACAATTAAATTCTAGGGAATAGTCAAGAGCTAACCTAAAACTTTCTTACTTGACTTGATTCGTGACATTAGGGTAGCATCCTAATTACTTATAAATCAAGAGATAACCTAAAGCATGTTTACTTAGCTTGATTCATGGTCTTCGATTACATGAAAATGAAGGGCTAACCTCAAGCTTACTTGCTTGATTCATGACCTTATAGTAGCATCCCAATTACTTGAAAATTAAGGGCAAGTGTAAAGCTTACTCACTAGATTCATGGCCTTAGGATCTTGATTACTTGAAATTTAAGGGCTAACCGATAGTAATGCATGTTTGTAACACACCCTAACTTCATTCGTGTTGTCATATTGTCCTTAGGAGCATAAGTTATTCATAACATCAAACATGTCATAACATAACCCTTGAGCCTCATGAATTCTTATAAGGAGGTCAGTAGGGGTATTTTAGTCTTTTACTACTTGAATCATGGTTCATACCTCAAACATATTCTAATCCTTTCAATACCATGTATGAGTTCTTTATGACATTTCATGTTTTTATTCAAGTCTTGGTGAGCTTATGTCTTTATTCGTGTCACCATATTGTCCTTATGAGCATATGTTATTCATAACATCATATATGTCATAACATAACTCTTGGGCCTCATGAATTCTTATCAGAAGGTCATTAGGGGTATTCTAGTCTTTTACTACTTGAATCTTGGTTCATACCTCAAACATAGTCTAACCTTTTAATACCATGTATGAGTTCTTTATCACATTTCATGTCTTTATGTCCTTAAGTCTCGGTGAGCTTAGGGCTTGTGTTGTACTCTTTTATTGGTTCTTGTCCTTGGAGTGTTTTCTTAGTCTCATGGGTTCTTGGCTTCTTGCTAAGGTTATTCTTATGGCACAATCATGACATAAATCTTAACATGAATTCTTAAGCCCTAATCCAAGCTCATAAGTCATAAACATTTCATGTTTATAGCATCGTAAAAATCATAACATGTTCCTTGAAGTTCTAGAAAGATCACGAATCCTTATTAAGGGTCTTTAGGGGTAGATTTGTCATTTCCTTAAAACCTTGGCTTATACCCTAAACATGTTCTAGTCCCTTAAGATCTTGCATAATTATCCTTAAGGTAATACATAAGTCTTTTTTTAGTAGGAATCAAAAAGAATTTCATGAAAACCCGTTTGGAAGGATTTGAGGAAAACAAGGGAAGGTCACATTTTAGGGGTATGTGACTGGTTCAATTGAACTGACAAGTCATCGTCTTCTTTGCTTGAGAGTGGAAGAAGCAAAGAAGACGATACGGCATAAGGCAAGAACTAAAAGGTCACAAGGAGGGTAGATTATAAGGACATGCGGGGAGAAGTTCAAACCTATAAAAGGACCCTCGATAGACTTGGAAGGACCAAACTGAGGACAAGTACCCTTAGACAAGATAAGAACGGTTAACTTTCGCGGACGAAAGTTCTTAAGGCATGTACTTGTTTCGACATTTTTTTCATTTTGACGGTCTTCTTAACATCCTTTATTGAGATTGTAAGGTCTTCCTTGATCATCCTTGTGTTTCCTTATATCGTGTAGAGCTTATCATCTTTATGTTCAACAAGCCTTAACATAATCAACGTTGTTCCTTCAAGGTCGTATCTTAGATGTTCCTTTAATTCCTTCTTGTACAAGGCCGGGTTCTTTGGGTCGTAAGTTCTTTACTAGACATTACAAGGTCTTCCTTAATATTTGTATCTACTCTTGGCCTAATCAGCCCTTGTGGCCTTAAATTCTTTGGTTATGCCTTAATGCATGAACTTGTTCTGACATTTGTTCCTTTTGACCGCCTTCTCAACATCCTTTGTTGAGATTGTCAAGTCTTATTTTAGGTCTTCCTTTTGTTCCTTTGTACAAGGCAAGTTTTTTGAGTTGTAAATTCTTCTTTTCTCGATAAAATAAAGCCTTTCGTAATCCTTGTAACATCCCTTGGCTGTCCATAATTGTTATAATTAGTGCTTGTGACCTTTAGTTCTTAACTTATGCCATAAGGCATGTACTTGTTCCGGTATTTGTTCCTTTTGACTGTCTTCTTAACATCCTTTGTTGAGATTGTCTTGGTCATCCTTGTGTTTCCTATATTGTAGAGCTTATCGTCTTTATGTTTAAGAAGCCTTAACATAATCAACGTTGTTCCATAAAGGTCGTAGCTAAGATGTTCCTTTTCATCTTGTACAAGCGAGTTCTTTGGTTCTTAAGTCTTCTTTTATCGGTATTACAATGCCTTCCTTAATCCTTGTAACTACCCTTCGCCATCAATAATCCTTATAATCAGCCCTTGTGGCCTTTAATAATTCTAAATTTATCCCTGGAGACATTTTCTAGTTCCGACATTTGTTCCTCTTGAATGTCTTCTTAACATCCTTTGTTGAGTTTGTCAAGTTTTCCTTGGTCATTTAACGTGTTTCCTTATATCGTAGAACTTATCGTCTTTATGTTTAACAAGCCTTAACATAATCAACGTTGTTCCTTTAAGATTGTATCTTAGATGTTCCTTTTATTCTTTCTTGTAAAAGACGGGTTCTTTGGGTCATAAGTTCTTCTTTCTCGATATTACAAAGTCTTCCTTAATCCTTGTATCTACCCTTGGTCTTGCATAATCCTTATTATAAGCCCTTGTGGCCTTAAGTTCTTTAGTTATTCCTTAAGTTATGTACTTGTTCCAACATTTGTT